AACAACAGGAACAATCAGATCTCTGACATCAGGGGGGAGGAGCGTGGACTGCTGTGCCGCTGACTGGACGGGACCTCAGCAGAGAGCCATGAGCCGCCCACCCTCAGCCAGAGGAGGGGGGACTGATAAGGCAGGCGGGAGGAAGCACAGGAACACAGGTGTCCAAGCTACGGTTACCGGGTCTGGTTCAGTCGCTTCGTCCCCTGCAGGCTCCCTGTTTTGACTTCATGCTGCACTGTAGTCGACCAAAATCCTGGTTACTGATCTGGCTGCGCGGTGGAAAAAGTGGGTCTGATGCACATTCGTCGGTCGGTCGGTCGGTCCATCCATCCATCCATCCATTTATGTCCTGGTGATCCTTACCTGCAGTAACTGCAAAGTCGGCAGCGACATCACAGGCTATCACATCTCCTCTAGGCATCAGGTTCTTCACCTTTTCTTTGACTTTTCCCATCCCCAGCTCATTCCCACCATCCCCAATTCCTGCAGAAAACAAGTTTATTAGCCATTTACTGGGGAGCAGGTACTGTGTTGTACAATCCTGACCTACATCGCCAATCTCGACCTACACCTCCGATCCAAATCAGCGCTGCCCCACAGAAAAAACGCTGCCTCCTTATTTGAATAAAATAACATGAAATAAAAAGAGCTTCAAAGCAAAACCACACTTAAAAATATAAAAGCCACTGTATAGGTGAAGTAGCTTTACAAAATAAAAGTGTCACAAAATAATTGTCATGAAATGAAAAAATAATCCAATAAATAAATTAAGTAATTTTCTTGAAACAAAATAGGATAAATATTGTACGATATATTTTTATTCACAGGAATGTTTATTGACAAATTATTTCTTTACTCTTTAATTTTGAAAGAACGGGCTCTTTACCTGTGGTTGTAACTCCAGGAATGTTCCGAGCAGCGATGAACAGGTCGTCTATCGGATCAACCAGATGTTTAATGTTCACTTCTCTCATGTTGTAATAATTTCCATCCTCAGCCCGGCCGCTGCGCTCTATCGCCAACAGGTGGTCGAACCTGGCAGAAACAGTTTTTTATTTTTAGGAGTTCAGGAGGAGTGAAGACCAGTTAGCAGGGAAGGAGGTGCTGGAGGTGGAGAAGGTGGTGGTGGAGGAGCAGGAGGAAGTGGAGAAAGTGGAGGAGGTGGATAAGGAGGAGGAGGTAGAGGACGTGGAAAAGGTGGAGGAGGTGGGGGAAGTGGAAGTGGAGGAAAATGTGAAAGACTAATTCAATAAAAGTTTTGAGTTATTTAGCTGTTTTCTTAAATTTATTTTCTCAAAATGTTTTTACACACATTTTCTTTTCATATTTTATTTTTCAAATCTCATTTTATATTATTAAGGTGTTTTTTTATTTTTCAGATTGAGTTCTTTGAATTTCATTCTTTTCTAATTCTGATTATAGTCTCTTTGCTTGGGGGGGGGCGGCTTTCCTCTGGAATGAGGAAATTTGTAAAACTATCTGAATTAAAAAAAAATAAAATTTTAAAACATGTAAAAAAAAATGAAGTTTAAAAAAATACAACTTGGAAAAAACTGAAAAAAATTCTTCAATTTAGAAAAATGGCCGTCTTTTTCAACTCTGTCACTTATTCTGTTATTTTTGTGCACCTTTGAAGATAAAAATTTTAGTGACCATTTTTGCTGTAATTTTCTGCTGCAGAAAAAACCCTCTTCCTCACCAATCCCAGGCGCTCTCCCATTTTCCTTCAAGTTCAGATCCTCTAGCAGAGGCCTGGGAGCTTGAGTGTTCTGCACAGTATTTCTATATAGTGTATATATATATATATATAGATATATTTATATATCTATATATATATATGTTTAGTCAGTAATGTCTTTCAAAGCTCTGATGTCACAATCCGTCGATTCAAAGTGAAATACGCCGCAGTGCTAAGGCATCCTTCTTCTGTTCTGGTTAAACCAGCAGGTTAAGGTAGCAGATCGACCTTCCCAAGATGGCCCCCGTAATTCCTGCGCCGCTACAGTCAATACAGGGTCTACTCTTATATGTATGTCTATGTAACATCTGACCTGGGCTTCCTGGGGTTTCCATGGTGACACAGGAAGTGCAGGGCGGAGTCAGGGCCATGGTCTTCATAGGTGACCAATGGGATTGCAGCTTTGAGAACACCTGGTGGACAATAAAGGTCACATCCAGCGTCACCTTTAAATCTGAACACCTGATGATGGTGATGTGAAGGCTCACCCGTCCTCACTGCTTCATCCACCAGAGCTCCGTTCATCTCCGTCGCTCTGCTGTCCGTCAACAACGTCACCTGTTTCCCTAGAGACAACAACATGGTTGCTATGGCGATGGCTCCAGGTGGACCATCAGTCTCATCAGGAGGGCTAAACAGGAAACAGAGGAGAACATCTGAGGTCATGTTATCAGAGGTAGAAGAATATCCTGGTTCCAGTTGTTGATAGCGTTCTCCAGTGAGGGAGATGTTAGCAGAACCCAACATTTATTCCCGACTCAAAGTATTTCAGACGTAGAACGAGAGAACAGGAGCAGAAAAGGTCTCCTGACTGCTGAGGTGAGAGAGAACACAGAAGCTTTGAGACATGGAGGAGATCCATGGAGCTCTAGAAACAGTTTGAACATTTGCTCTCTGAGAAACACGTGAAGCTGAGGAACCTCTGAGGAACATCTAAGGAGTCTCTGAGGAACCTGCTGGAATAGGATGGACCATCTCTGAATGGTACCTCAGTGATCTCAGGTTCTGTAGTGGTTCCTCCTGAGCTCACTGAGAGGACGGTTCAGGGCCAGAACCTGGTGTAGGAAGCTCAGTGAGAACCTCTGATGGTCTGATGGGGGGACTGATGCTCTCTCTAAACGGCTCTGGACCTTTTTTGCTCAACGAGCAACTTTGCAGGAGAAGAAAAGAGGGAAAAATATCTTAAGAATGAAGAAAATACATGAAACAGAAAAAAAGGAGGACAACTGGATTCTGAGAAGAACCCAGAGTGTTTCTGGAGGAGAAGAAGCAACATCAGGAAGTCAATCCTGGTTTTTATGGCTAAAGGAACCAACAGGTTAGAAGATGCCTCTGCATGCCCCCCATGCAGACACTGAAGAACAGAACTTTCACCTGGACCGCTCCGCCTTCTTCTGAAGACTAACCCAGATCTTCTCCTGAGGAACAATGCAAGCTGCAGCAAAAACACGCTAACGGTTAGTTCCTGCAGAACCTGGTGTGGAGTCATTCTGGAGCAGAACCAGAACCAGCTGAGGCCCGCCCTCTGATGACCCCTGCTGGTGACAGGTGAGCAGCTTACCTGTGCATGTAGTTTGTGGGGAACCCGGTTGTTATGGCAACAGAGGAGGCGTGGGAGAGCGCCAAGCAGGAGAGCAGGAGTTCATCTTGGACCAGAAGGGCTTTGATGCCTCTCTGACCTGCAGACACAGATGGAGAAGCTGTAACTGGAGCTCTCTGGTTTCGCTGGTTCTACTGGACCAAAGGAATCAGTGAGGAGAACCAAGGACCATGAAGACCTTGGAGGAACTAGTTCTGTTGCAGCTATGTTCTTCCTGTCTGAATGGATGAATGTCCACCACAGCATCCAGAACCAACATGTTCTGATATAACAGAAGCAGACTAGAACCTCCTCCTCAGTTCTAGGAGGTTTATGATGGTAACCTTGATGGTTTTGGGTCATTTCAGACCCCTAGTGGAGGCCTACCCGGGTCGTCTCCGATGACCCGCTCGAGCTGCCGGATCTTCTCCACCGCTGCCTTGGACACCAGGCTGTAGAGCTGTGGGTTCTGGGTCACCTGGAAGCAGAGCGGGGTCAGCCCGGATTCTGGGGTCGGAGAGTCTGGGACGTCGGTCAGGAACATGCAGCCAGGGGAGTGACTGAATGCCAGAGATGGTTCTGAAAAAGATCCACAACAAACCGTCAGGATTCTGTTATGGTCGGACAGTGAAGGTCCAATGGGTCACGGCGCTTACTGCTGCTCAGGATGGCCTCGATGGAAGTCACTCCACAGGCCCAGAAGACCGGAACATCTCCTGGCTGGAGCTCCACCGGGTCACCGTAGTCCGGTTTGGACAGGTCCTGGATCCCCAGGAGAGCTGGACACAAACAGACAGGATGAGCTGCAGACCTTCTCCTATACCACAGGGTCCAGCTCTCTGGTTCCCAGTACCTGGATCTCCTATGTGAACCGGAGCTCCATGAGCCAGAGGGTTCTGGTGGGTCACCTCCACAGCTGCATCCAGGAGTCCAGCTGGGACCGGGCGCATGGTGACCACCAGGGGGCAGCAGAAGGCTCCTCTGGGAACACAGCTGACAGCCGTCTGTGGAGGAAACCCAGACAGCAGCAGGAAGTGAGGAAAGCCAGAAGCATCATGGGAAACCAGCTCCAGAACTTCATCCCTCTGGTTTGAGACTTAGAATCCTGAGGCTTAAACCAACAGACTGAAAAAATGCAGAATGATTTACATGACATCACAGATGCTTTTTATCCTTTTCCTGTTGTTTTTTGAACGATTGTTTACAGAAGCATTTCTGTTTATACTGGTTTATAGTAATTTGATGATCAATTCTATTTAGTTTATTTCTATAGCTCCAATTCACATCATGTCATCTCAGGTCACTTTACAGTTTATCAGATCATCCAGTCAGATTGATTCAAAGTTTTCTATCTAAGGAAAACCAGCTGATTGCATCGACTCATTGACTCTTCAGCAATCCCTCACACTAAGCATGCTTGTAGCGACAGTGGAGAGGAAAAACTCCCAAGCTCAGTGTGAGCCTGGTTCTGCTGTGATGAACCGACTGGTGATGACGGTCCACACAGTTACATCTAGGTGTTCAGGGTCTTTGGCCCCCCCATCATCATTATCATACTCCACCACTGTACTCTGCAGGTTGTCTGCGCTATTTGTCTCATGATCTTGGTGCTGACGTCTGGTCTGATTACTAATTTCCTTCAATTGCCTAGCCCCGCCCAGTTTCTCCGTACGGTTCATGTGATCCACCTGCTTCAGCATCTATTTAACTTGTCTTCATCCACTCATCAGTGCCAGAATATTCTAACCTTTGGTGAGAGTTCTCTAGCTCTCCTGAGTGTTGTTGATTGCCTGATCCTGACCCGTTCTGCTACTCTGAGCTGCCTGTTCCTACTACCTCAGCTGCTGCCTAGGAGGACAATGGATCTGGGTCGTACCCGGTACATGCTGACGTTCCGACCTTGCTCCACATTCCTAACAGGGATTCCAGCTTCCTTCAGTTTTCCCTCGAAGCCGAAGCTGCAGCCCAGGTAGAAGGTGACCATGTCTGCCAGCATGTTCTGTTGCTCCGACCCGGTCCTGCTCAGACAGAGACAATCTGTTCACAGCAGTAAACAGCGGATGAGTGTCTCTGGTTCTGGTAACCAACCTGTACTTGTTGCTGTAGCTCTGCAGACCGGAGACGGTCTTCACCAGGCGACCTTCCTCATACACACAGTATTCAGGGATATCGGTCCTGCAGATACAGGAGGAACCACAGGGGTTTGAACGTCTCCAGTGTTCGTTAGGTGATGTAACAGCCTGGACCAGTTTGATTCCATCTCAGAACACAGAACATCCGGCAGAACTAAACTAACTAAGTTCTGTTTCACATAGTGGTGAGAAAGAGAAACATTAGAGGAAAATAATTTGGTTTGATACCTGACGTCAGCATTTTTAGCCAGAGGGGAACAGGAAGGCTCTCCTGATTGGCTGCGATACAGGAGCGGTAAGGGGGCGGAGTTACAGTGACAGAAGTCCTCAAAGTCATCAGCCAGGTGGCTCGGCAGAACCACGACGTTAGCCTGCTGGTATCCTGGCAGGAACACACATTTCATGCATCAATGAACAACTGAACAGGTGGCATCAATGCTGGGATTTAATGAATAAATGTCAATAATTGTCAATAATTCTATAAATCTGAGTCTGATTTAGAGAGGGGGGGTGGATGACTTTCTGAGGGCGGCGTTGTAGAGATTGATGACCGCAGGCAGGAAGGACTTCCTGTGGCGCTCTGTGGTGCATCTGGGTCAGAGGAGCTCCTCTGCTGGGCCAGCATGTCATGGAGGGGGGGTGAGACATTGTCCAAGATGGACTGAAGCCTGGACAGACTCCTCTCTGCCACAGTGGTCAGAGGGTCCAGCTCCTCCCCCACAACATCACCCGCCCTCCTGATCGGTTTGTTTGGTCTGCTGTTGTCTGCCACCCTCAGCCCGCTGCCCCAGCATGTGACAGCAAAGAAGATGCTGCTGGCAACAACAGACTCAGAAAACATCCTCAGCAACGTCCAACAGATGTTAGCAGACCTCAGCCTCCTTTCGCCCTTTTTGTAGACCGCCTCGGTGTTTCTAGACCACTCCAACCCTCCCAGGTACTTATACTCCTACACAGTGTCACAGGGACCCCTGGATGGAAACAGGGGTCACAGGTTCTTGCCTTCCTCAGATCCACTATTGGCTCCTAGTGCTTCATGTCTGTAAACCAACCAGGATTCATAGATTTTAAACCTTACCCTGCTCAGAAGTTCTATGAAATCTACTAGGCTGATTGAATAAGACTCGGCTCGCCTCTTAACCACCTTCATCCTAGAGTCACCCTCTTTTTGATAAACAGGCTGACAACCCTCTGTATCCTGCTAACCACCAAAGTTCTAGTTAAATTTTAATCTGATGTTTTAGGCCTTCAATCATTCTAAGGTTCAAATGAACATATTATTTCTTAATATTAATTATTTTCATTCTTTAATTTAGCAATTGTTGCATGAAAAATTGAATAAATCTCAAACCCGTCTCACACTTACTGATCATTGGAAAGCTGCTATAGGTTTAGGCTGCTGGAGGAAATAAAGACCACTTCTACTCCCACTGCTAATGGTCCCAGTGGTCTCTGATTAGGCACCATCTTCAGGTATAAAGCAATAACTTCATGTTTTATAGAAGCTGAGAGAAAACCTAAGCTGTTCTGGAGCAGAAGTGCAGTAAGAACAAATGGACAGAGCAGTGATATCTGTGGGTGATAACAGTAGACTGAACTAGATCCACAAACATCAGCAGGAAGTGGAGAATGAATAACAACATAGCTATAGCACACAGAGGCCTGGAAAATCCCTGAGAAGATAAGCCCAGCGACTGCAGGAGTAAAGAGCAACGGTCAGCAGACACTACAGGTCTTACCGTGTGCCAATCCAGTGGTGGTTCTTATTCTGGGGTGGTTCTGCCTGATTAACAACCGCAGTTCAGCTGGACTGAGATGACTTAAATTATGGACTTGATGCATATCTAGATATGGGTTATAAACTGCTGTTAAGTCTGTACTGCTTTCTGGAATCACAGGGAGCTAAAGACTTGGAGGGGAGCTGCAGGAAAGTTTCTGCAGCTTTCTGTTAATGTTTGAGAGGAGAGCAGATGAAGAGATTAACCTTTGGAAGCCTACAGAGAGCCAAGAGCTACAGGCAGCAACTACTAGATCAGCCAGTAACAGATCAGCCAGTAACAGTTCCCCTTTTGAGCTCCTCCTGGATGATGGAGGATCTTCTCCTTCCCTCTCATGTGGAGCCCAGAAGGTCAATCCAGCCTCCCAGATCCATCACCTTTAAGGGCTGGTTATCCTCAGCAGTGTGTCGCAGTTAGCTTGTCGCATGAATGACGCAGATATTTTAGATTAATGCCCAATATTGAAGCGTGCTCTGCGCTATGTTATTCCACGCCACAACACCAGAGGGCCAATCAGGAACTAGCTAGGATTTTGGGCGTCCATGTGTCGGGTTGACGAGCTTGTTCACCATCTACAACCCCTCATCCAACGGCGGACGACACACAGTTCACCCGTGAGTGTTCCCCAAAGACTGGCAAACTGTGCAAACCAACAGACCGTCGCTCAAAGCTACAAACTAGCGTCCTGCACGGTGTCTGGGATAGAATCCGAGATGTGCCAGGCCCTGTGGACGACAATACAGCCAGAGTTTCTGCCATTAGGAACCAAACAGGAAATACGCATAGTTAGAGCGGATGTAGAGTTGACCAATTAGAGGCCTCCTGTCTGCAGTCAGCTACAGTTTGGGAGACGTGAACCAGAGTGTCTGCGGAAAGGGGCGGGGCTTATCTGCGTTAACTGTGACACACACGCAGACGACCTGGTTTCTGAGCATAAACCAGGCTTTAGTCCTGTTGAGATAAAATATCAGTGATGTAACAGGAGTGACTCCCCTCTGATGTCACAACCCTGTGACGAAGTTTATTTAAGGGGCTGGCTCCTACTGAAGTTCCTGTTGGCAGTAGCCTGCGACGGGAAGGCTAGCCACGCCGGTTCTCAACTGAAGGCTAACGCTAAGTAGACTCAGAATCCCTCTGGAGAAGTCTGTGCTTGCTGGACCTTTCTTACGATTCGGAACCAGCTGATTGTAGTGACCGCATTTTCCTGCGATTCAAACCAAGTTGAATGCAGTGAAGCAAACTGAACAGCGGAGCCCAATTGCTGTTTGCAGAGGAGCCGTTAGGAGCTGCTGACCGATGCCATACTGGTCCTGCCGCTCCCTGAGACGCAGCCACCGCCAGCTAACCACCGTAGCTAAGGGAGACGTCCCGGGCTACTGTGAGCTATAGAATAGAAATTAGAAAATCCATTTATTGTCCCACAATGGGGAAATTCTGCTGCTTACAGCAGCGAGAAGATTATAGAAAAACTGGTCATAGATCAGATTAAGCCCTGCTCTTAATATTGCATCAGATTGATCCAAATCTCTTTAGGATTTGCTGTTGGCGAACAGACTTGGAGATCGGATTTGAGCCGACAGAACCAGGCCGAAAAGTCCATTCTGCTCCATCGAACCAAAACAGTAACATCATCCTTCCTTCTGATGGTTGATAAATGCTCTGCTGTGCTGAACTTTCTGATTCAACTGCTGATGGTTTAACAGTTTAAACTGAATGCTAACGCTCACAGGACTGGCTAGCATCGTTAGCTCCCAGCTACTGCATGCTGGACATGTCGTACAGGCCTTTGTTTGAGCTGGACCCGTCCAGACCGAGACCCCTGGGACCAGCTAAGCTAACCATTTCACTTTCAGCCTCATCGTAGTTTAATGCATTTCTGAGTCAGAATGAAACTTCACAGTTTTGACTGCAGTTAACATCTCTGCGTCTCTTTATTCACATTTATCTGCTGCCATTTAAAGGACACGTTCAATGCATTTAGCCTTTAAACTCAAATATTCCTCAGACTTTGAACGACTTTTAAACTCGTCTTTATTGTAGCTAATAAGGGTCTCATTGTATTTTAACCGGTGGTCTTTCGTGTTTATTTTACTCGATTTATCACTCCAGATTCACTGTTCTTTCAGTGGCATCCGAATAAAAAGAGACCCATTTATTTTGTTGGTGATTAATAACTGGGCTGATAGCCACAGTCTAAATGAGTAAATTAATGAAAGACAGCTGGATTTCAAACAGCCGCATTCAGGAGTCCAACCTAAGAAACCTGGTCAGAAAGCAAATTACATTTAGAATCATTCAACTTATAATTAATTAGTTTAACTCTTGATTTAAATGACCTATTATTCAACTATAACTTCCCGTTCTAATCATTGAATATATTCATAATCTTCTGGTAATCATGCACGAGCTGCTCTGATGATGAAGATACTAACACTCCACTTATTGGGAAAAAAACAAGGGAAGTTCTAAACGAATCTTCATGCAGAGAAATGAACTGAGCAGAAGGATGGAGACAGAAACAGCTAAGATCTTCCTGAACACCTCCTAAAGTTCACCTTTAAACGAGGAGCAGCCTCTCCTGAAAAACCTGAGGGAACATCTGGAGCTTCTCACCGCAGGGATCATGGCTCACCTGAAGGACACAGAGAATCTAGAGGTTAGGTCTGATGTTCTTCTAGACAAACAACACCTTTAGCCTTCTACAGCATTAGCATTGTCCACCTGAGCAGCTGCCCTCAGCATGATGCTGCCACCACCATGTTTCACTGATTAATTGGGTGTTCAGGGCTTTTTACTTCTGGTGTCCTCTGATCAGGTTCTTCTATGAATTTGCCATATCTGCTACAGAGCTGCTGCTAAATTGGAACCTGGACTTCTGGGTTTCCATCATGGAGGACGACCATCTTCCTGCCATCAGATGACGGAATGGTCAGAGCTCTGAGGGAAACGCAGCCATTTTTTTTTAGGTCGCGTTAATGCTAAGAATTATGGTAGTAACACCTGAGAATATGTTTCAAAATAAGAGCAGTAAATTTTGATGTATATCTACACTTTTTTTTTTGTTTATGCCTCAGTTATTTAATAATTTCTTTAGCTTTGTGCTATTTTTGTTTTTTGTCATGACGTCACATGCTTATTTTAAAACGTTTCATGATCTCCGTTTCCTTAATGAGAATTGGACATCAAATGTTACTTTATGCTCTAAAACTAAGTGCATTTTTAAAATCATAAACTTTTGGTCTAGTCTTGTTATAGAAGTTCAAATATCCAAATGAGAAAGAATTTAAAATGGCTTTTGTTCAGAATGAGAAGCAGACGGACCATTAATTTAGTTAACATCCCATTTCAAACCTTCCATTATTTCCCAAATTAAAACTTCAGGATCATCCATCAATAACATGCTGAGTATCTCCAGACTGCCAGTGCTGCAGTCCGGTCCGGTCCGGTCCGTTACCTGCCAGGTCCAGATCCACAGGAAAAAGAACATTAAGAAGATCCGGTTTGTCAATTTAAAACCACTGATCGGTAATTCCCAATTAGAGCATCATTCTGATATTTCCCCTCAAAAGAAGAGTGTTTATTTTAATTAAAGGATGGAAAATACTTCAATATATATATATATATTTATATATTTATATATATATATATATATATATATGTGTATATATCCCTAACACAAGGAGGCAGATATGTGATGTTGATCAAAATATTTATTTTATTTTAAGATTAGCTTGTTTTCACATCGTGGATTTTGGAAGCAGAGAATAATCCAGGTTAGAAGAATCCAAGGTCTCCTGATGACAGAGACACAGTGAAAAGAAAAGCTTTTGGCAGAAACAGCATGAGTGAGTTTGAATGATGTTATAATAAATGATGCATTCATTACCTCATAATTTTCTCTGATTAATTAAAAAAAAATTATATCACCAAGTTCTCCTCAAGCTCCAAGGAACTCTACAGAACAAGACGGAAGGAACCGAAGGGGCGGATTGGAAAGGTGCGGAACGGAACAGATACGGAGCGGAGTGGATACAGAGGATATGGGATTTTAGTGTTATCCCAAAAAACATCCTCCGTCTCCGCTCCGCCTGCTCCACTCCAGACTTCCTGCTCAAACCAAAGCCCACAGCCTCCGCTGTTCCTCCCTTGCTGCTCCGCTCCGACTTCCTCAGAGCTCCAGGAGAGCATCTGCGATATTATTATTAAATTCATCGGAGAAAAACATGCAGAAATTAACGCTTAATTTAATCTGACATATTAAAAAATCCAACCATCATCCAGCAGATTTTCAATTTCTGCCCAGATATTTGTGTTTAGTTGTGGATTTTTGTAACATGGATAATTAGGATCATCGATGCTTTGGAGAAACTCTGTTTGTTCTCTGCTTCCACACTCAGCATCTCTTCATTCAGGCCTGAGATTAGAAGTTTGTTTTGAAGTTGAGAGGTGCTCTTAGGCGTTCTGACTGGATTTCATGAAACTTTTAAGCCTCTCGGTTTAAAATAAATATTTTGATGGCAATGAGAAATCTGCCTCCTGGTCTGTTGAAGGATCAATAGTTTGCATCCAATCATTTAAAAACGGTCCGTTTTTGGGAATATTGAAGAATTCTGCTCTAATCTGTCCTTACTATGTTTTCATTTGACAAACTGTTCCTTTTCCTGTTTGCTGTGATTGGAATTGAGGATCTGCAAATACAAAAACTAAGGCCGTTTAATGAAATGATTAGATGCAAACTATTAATCCTTCAACAGACCAGGAGGCAGATTTCTCATCTCAATCAAAATATTTATTTTACACCGAAAGGCTTAAAAGTTTAATTAAATCCAGTCAAAACTTCCGGCAGTGCCCCTTAGAACTTCAAAAGGACCTTCTGGCCTCAGGCCTGGATGCAGAGTTGCAGAGATACTGAGAACAAACCAATGTTTTATGATCTTTGTTATCCTCTGTTACAAAGATCCACAATGAAACTGTCTGGGAAACAGTTTTATTGTGGATCTGTGTTCCCCAGTTATGGGAATATGCCTTTGACATCATAAGGACATGCTGAATGGTAGGATTACTGTACCATCTCTATTATAGATCTATAAAGGCCTAATGTCACTATAAT